ATTTTTACATCCAATGGCTCATAGTAGAAATGTATGTGATTAAAATAGAGACCTCTCATCTTTTTAGATGGGACAACTTCCATGGCCAGTGGCTGCCAAATACTTTCTGTCCCACTGTGTGTGTGTGTGTGTGTGTGTGTGTGTGTGTGTGTGTGTGTGTGTGTGTGCGCGCGTGTGCAGGGGGGTATTTAAAATCCATCTCGTGCTTTCACTCCTTCAGTTTCAGCAAAGTGCTAAGATCTCCATGGAAACAAGGATCAGTTCAGTCAGCACAGATATAAATGAAGTAAGAAAAACTTGGTGCAAGTTTTTATCCTTTTCTTTGCTGTTCATGATCATCAGGTTTGAATCTCCCGCTGCAGCCACCTAAAGCTGCACTGATGCTCACTGTCCCACAGGAGGTCCAACAACACAAAGGTGTCTTCAGAGAGGCCAGATCACTTTAGGTTAACTTGAACTATTGGAATTCAATTCAATTCAAGTTTATTCACGACATGAGTCGTCTCAAGGCACTTCACATAGTAAACATTCCAATTCAGGTCAGTTCATTAAGCCAATCAGAAAAAAAGTTTCCTATATAAGGAACCCAGCAAATTGCGTCAAGTCACTGACTCGTGTCAGTGACTTTACAGCAATCCTCATACTAAGCTAGCATTTAGCGACAGTGGAGAGGAAAACTCCCTTTTAACAGGAAGAAACCTCCAGAGGATCCTGGCTCAATCTCCACGTTAGTACAATTTACAGTAAGACCTTTTTCATTTGTAATCTATTTATCCATCAAGGACATTGCTATCCAAGTGCAAAACTAAATGCAGCTGGTATTTAGGGTTTAGCTATTACTAATTTTCAATTCCTCCCCGGTTGCTTTGTTATACAGAGAATCAAAAACAGCATCAAACACTATTAAAACATGGAAAATGACCACTAATCATTGCACTTACCATTTTGTATAAAAATGACACAAAAACCCAGTGCTAATTACAGATGGGTACAATCCAGGTTTTCTTAACCCTGGAGGGGAACTCCTTAAACTCTGATATATCCCTCCCTTCCATAATGAGTTGCACGTGTTAGCACTTCTGATCACACAGAGTCCTGTAATGGCGATTTGGCATTTGTGATTCTGGAATCTCTGATGACTCTATTGCTGTTTTGTTTCTGGACAATTGAACTTGAGGGCTCAGCTTCTGGACTGTTCATGTAGTTAGAAACAAGCTAGAAAAAAGCTTAGCCTGCAAAAGCTTTCAAAACTGAGCAATCTATGCTGTTTGAGGAGGATGCAGTGATAGTAATGGATTGGCTTTTTGGCCATAATGTCCATAAAAAATTAATTGCTTGATTGTACAGTGTACAGGGTTCATTTCAAGATCCTGGTTCTGGTCTATAGGGCCTTACATGGACAAGCACCATCTTACATTGGTGATCGTCTTAGTCCCTACACCCCCAGCAGGTACCTGAGGTCCAGTGATCAAAGCCTACTGGTTGTGCAGCGCACCAGGCTAAAGACCAAAGGTGACAGATCATTTGCTGCTGTGGCCCCCAGACTCTGGAACTCTCTCCCCCTGAGTCTGAGATCAGTGGACTCAGTGGTCTCCTTTAAAAAGCAGCTGAAGACTCACTTGTTCAAGCTGGCTTTTGTATGACCTTCTTCACCACTCTCTCTTTATTCTGCTCTCCCCACCTATTCCACCTTCCTCAGGATCCACTGATTTCCCTCTTTCCTATTCACTCTCTCTCTTTCTTAACATTTTTTCTTTTAAATCCCAATAGTCTGTTTTTGCTCATTTTAAATATATTTTTAAACATTTTCTAAATGCTTTTTTACATTTTTACATTTTTTGTTTTTGTGAAGCGCCTCGTGATTTTTATCTTGAGAGGCGCTATAGAAATGATACTTTCTTCTTCTTCTGAATGCACTTAATGACTGAAGATGTGTTTTGAACCCAGACTGTCATGCAACGTGATTTATGTGAGAATATCGTAGAATGCATGCACAGAGGGACAACCTCGTCTGTAATATAATGTCTGATTAGCCTAACCCTTCCACTTTCCTATAAGGTGACCCCGCCAGGACAGGAGCTGGTTAAACAGGTGTTGAGGGTATGCCCTCGTGAGAAATTGCTGCAGTAATTTTCTCCAAAAAGACTGCTAAATTGCTCTGAAAAGCAAATAATCACATCAGCGCCAAGAAACTTCATTTCCCATGATGCTTTGCACACGGAAGCAATGTGAAGACGTCACCGCCTAATACCAGAAAAACGTTCTGCGCATGTGCAGGAGCTCATGGAGCTTGCCCGCAAAAAAAGGCTATAAATCATCAACATAGACTAAGGAACTCTGTTCTTTTGCCCAGGATACCTGGCGGTAAGGACACGCTCGTCGAACGCTCCGACTAACTTGAGCACGCGGGAAGTCTAAGTGCTCCATCAAACTCACGGAACCGCTGAAAAGCTAAGCTACAAGCCATCAGGTCTGTCCAACCGCTCGCTGCCCTAGCTGCTGAAGGGAAGGACACAGAACCGGGCTGGGAAATCAGCAACTCCGTCAAACTCACGGTGAACGCCGAAAACAACGGAGAAAGCGACAACTCCATCAAACCGACGGACGACGCCGAAAACTGCGGAGAAACACGGAGAACCGTCAAATCAAACAGCCGGGGACGCCTTGCTGTTCTGGTGATCAGAAACTCATCTCTTTCTCTCTCTCATTCTTTCCTTCTCCCGTTTCCTCTATAGTCCAGAATAAGCAATAAAACCGCGCTATTGCTTAAAAGTAGCTTCGTGTTTTCCTCTTTCGTTCCCAAATACGTCCGTCGGGTCATTTTGAAAGAATAAACTGCTTATTGATCATTGTTTGGTATCTTTAAATGTTTTCTGCTACGGCCAAGCAGTTAAACTAAAAAGATATTATTCGTGATTAATCTTTTGTGTTGTTTCATGACCATTTTGAAATGTTTTGAGTGATTTTAAGGTTAAGTTACTTCTGATTCTAAGTGCTTTGGAAGTTAAAGTGCAAGTTGCCACCCACACTTTAGCCAGACAAAGGGGTCAGCCATCTTGTATTCAAGACTCCATTTTGGATCCATACACACGCACACACACACCACTCCTTTTATTATATCACATGGTTATTATTCATTTATTTCATTGTTTATTCATTTGACAAATTGTTCAATTAAATGTTATAAAATTCAGATTTTTGCCTCAAGAGACTTTGTTTGTGTTGGTTGAAATTTCTGCTCCAAGGATTACACAAACTTCAAGAAAGACTGATAAGGTTTTGGATTCATTTCCCTTTCTAATTAAAGGGATGGTGCCCCGGGATATCTAAGAATATCTTAATTAATTAATAAATCAGTAAATATTCCCATATTTACAGAATTTATTGAAGAATCCAAAAGTAAGTTAAAACTTACTAATTGTTCGCTCCTGATAACCCCAACACAGGGTTTGAAGTTTATGCCTTGGCAGGGGTGAAAATGATGCACCACTTAAACAATATTAAAATAAAAAATAAATATACACCAGAGGTCCATCTGACCCCATTAACAATGCGGGAGGGTTAAAGCAATTTCAATGACATTTAATTGTTTTTGTTAATTTTCATGGTGTGTTTTTCAAATTTCAGTTTGGGATCAAGACCCAACTCAAGGCATTTAAAGTGAGGGTCAAGGCCTGGGTGGAGACGCATTTCATCCACACTTCTGAGAGAGGCGTCGCCTGGCAGGCCGAGAGAGCAGCACTGAGGCAGCGGTAGACCGCACCCCCCTCAACCCCTCCACATGCGCTGTCGGAGTTTCTCAATCTTAAAACGAGTTGTTAACGAGCGCGTGCAAACAAGACGTACCACTCAGGAGAAGAGCAGACACAGATTCTGCAGCATTCTGGAGGATTTCCAGTTAACCACCATCATTAGATGAAAAGGGGAGGAGGGCATTTTTTTTCAAGGAGAAGAGCGGCTCAGAGAGCCAGCATGTCATGTCGGCAGGTGAGTGGCTGAGCCAGGTGGAGGTGCGGCTGCCTCACCTGGAGACCAGTGCGGTGCAGCCACGTAGTACTTTGCTGACGTCACGTTTTTCAGTGTAGCCATCAACCACAGCTGGTTCTACATGAATGTGGAGCAGAGTTTTAACCTGAAGAGCGTGTTTTAACACCTAAGCAGAGTGTTGGTTTTTAAGGTGGCCGACTAGGACTACATGGAGACAGGTGGTTTGCTGTTCCTTTAAGGTGGCTTATCAGATTTGTCGTGTTGAATGCAGCTCTGTGTTTTCTACCAGGCGAAATGCCCAATATGCTTACATTAACTGTTCACTCTCCCGAGCAGACACGTTAGTTCTGCATTAACCTGTTAGCTAAACGCTACACTGTCCCCCCACCAGGCATAAACTGTGTGATGTTACGGTGTTGCTGTCCATGCAACAGTAAATATTGCTGTAGCAGAACTTGTTAAAATGAAAAATAAACCATTATATCTCTGAATTTACAAGACCATGCTTGTTTTATGAGCTTATATTCCATTCATTTTCACCTGATTGAGATCCTTTTAAAACATGTGATCGGGCTCAATTTCCGATCACATGATCAGATAGCAGAATCCTTAATTTTACTTCCCGAAACAGAAGTGCAGGAGCTTGGTTTGCACAGCAAATGACTTACAAGGCATTCACGTTAGACCACAGCAAATGCATTGAAATAACAAGTGTATGCCCACTTTATGACTTTTTAAGGGCTATTTCTTATTTTTATTTGATGCAAAAACTCCTTCGACATCACGTGTCTTTGTCAGAGTGAACTCTGGTGCATATGGTGTCGACACCCTAGTTTCTTGTTTTTGCAACAAACAAAACTCTTTACCCACCCGAGTGCTCCAGCCCCCCCGCTTTGTACTTCGGCTGTCCATCAGCTGTAAATCTCATAATGAACTCCCCAAACATAGTAAGCACATGAGAAGCTGTCTTTGCTTCAGTGCTTCATTTATAAAGTTTGTTCTCACTCACTCACCTTGCGCACAAAACTTGAGCTCTTTAGCATCTGTGATGGTGCTAGCTGGTGTCCTGGCTGCAATTTTCTTACTCATACGATTGTAGTTCCTTCTCCTCTTGGTCTCGCCCCACAGGTTGGAGCCACCATGCATGCTGGGAATGTTGAGAACAGCAATGCCCTCTAAGGATGTGTTGCTAAGGTCCAGGATGATCCCATCACACTGAGAAGATAAAATAAAAAATCATTTGGACACGATCAAGAGGTTTCAGGATGAAAAGATCAAGCAGTGTGTGAAATAAAATCAATTATTTAACAGTTGGTCAAAGAGCCAAAGTCAACACACGTTCATCTCTACTGTGTGTATGTGTGTGTGTGTGTGTGTGTGTGTGTGTGTACATGTAAAAGACAGTGCTAACATGAGACAGCTAACTAAGATTTCTCTGTACTTTTCTCTGGTTTCATAAAGGAGCTGTTGGAGCTGTAATCTGGCTGTTTTCACACTGAATGATCACACCAGTCGCGGTTGTGAAGAAAGAACAAAATGCAAATTCAAAATTCAGATCAAGTCTTTCCAAGAGCCTGGCAAAACAAAATATTCACTGAAATGGAGCCTCTCACACACACACACGCGCGCGCACACACACACACACACACACACACACACACACACACACACACACACACACAGTGCTTGTCAGAAAACCTTTAGTTTCCTTTCAGAATCCACATTTTCTACTCCCACAAATGTGGGACATTGATTGCAAACAAGATTTGTTAATTTTCACACAAAAAAGTGATTTTCCTAACAAATCCATTCAAGCCCATGTTGCAAAAATGAGTACACCCCAATTATAGTTTTAGGAGAAAAGCCACACTTAGAAGGAACTCCGGCTATGAGGACGTGTGTGCTCTAATATGCCACAAGTTTTCTGTTGTACCAAACTATGTTGTTAGAGACACACAAAATATTGCTGTTTATTTATAAATCTATAATATTCAGTACATTTTTTGACATATGTAGGACGCCATGTTTTCCACATGCAATGCACTCTGGGGGCGATGGCGTATATTGGTTGCACTTGGAAGAATAGCTATTGATGCCAGTGTTTGTTTACGCGCTTACCGTATTAATAATTAAGTAAAAGGCCACATTGTGCTGCTGTTGGATGTAATTTCCAGTCAAAGGGCAACAAGGGGAGTGATGTGAGTTTACACAGCTTTCCCACTGGCAAGAAGAGGGGAAAGCAGTGGGAAGATGCCTGTGAACGGACACAACTTCCCAAAGATCCACAGCTGTGTTCCCAACATTTTTCTCCTGATGCGTTTGAGGCTCATGGTCAACCACAACTACTTAACCCTCCCACTGTCCTAATGGGTGTGACCCCCCGAGGAAAGTTGACCATTGAGCAGGGTCGATGGTTTATCCCTTGAGGTCCGTGTGGCAGGGGTGAGGAGTGAGCACCACCTCACCCCTGCCACACGGACCTCACGGAGCAGGGTCTTCAAGAGTTTCTTGAAAATTGAAAAGGAAGTCACTGTTCTGGTAGTGCTTGGTAGGTCATTCCACATTTGTGGAACAATGCATGAGAAGAGTCTGGATTGTCCTGAGCGTGGTGTAGGCACTGCTAGCCGACGATCCTGTGATGACCGGAGCGGCCGGGCCGAGACGTAAGCCTTTGCAAGAGGATTTAGGTAGATGGGAGCCGTACCATCTCGGACTTTGCAAGCTAGTGTTAGCAATTAGAATTTGATGCGTGCTGCTAGCGGTAGCCAGTGGAGCTCAATGAACAGAGGGGTGACGTGTGCTCTTTTTGGCTGATTGAAGACCAGGCGCGCTGCTGCGTTCTGGACCATTTGAAGAGGTCTCACAGTACAGGCTGGAAGACCAGTTAGAAACTATTTTTGCTGAGAAACACACGGTAATAGTTCATTGTGCATTTAGTGCCGACCACAGCCACCACACAGGTGATGTGTTGAAAATGCCCAAGTCCATCCTTGTGAGAGCACCATGTGAGCACCTGTGTGTGTACACGCGCTTGTGTATGGAAGGTTTCTCTATAGGAGTACCCAGTAGTGAATGTGAGGGCCCACAGACCTGCCCCCAAAGATGTGTGGAAGATGGAGGAGTTCCAAGCGCTAGAGTTCAACGGGTCTTCCCGAAGCGCAGGAACCTCCTGGGGACAGCCGCCAGAGAAAATTAATACTTTTTAAAGGGGGTGTACTCATTTACACACATACATGTATATATATATATATATATATATATATATATATATATATATATATATATATATATATATTTACACACATACATGTATATATATATATATATATATATATATATATATATATATATTTACACACATATATGTATATATATATATATACCCACCCCTAAGATAAGATGTAGAATACTGATGATGCAATCAAAAACTTTGTCTAGCTAATTGATTGTTTCCTTTTGTTGTCTGCTCCATCCTTCATGCCTCATTGAAAACAGCTGTGAAACATCTGTAACTCACCTCAACCTCTATACATTCGTTTAGTTTCTTGCACGTGGCAGAAATGGTCTCTGTGGTGCCAAACTCAAAGTACCAGAGCTTGTTTTTCATTCTGGAAGGAAGGAAAATGCAGTTTAAAAAACTCTCCTTGTTTCTGTGTGAGCCCACAAAGTTTTTATATGTTAATGCAGCAGATGCACACTGAAGATGTCAACTGCTTTGAGTCATCTCCTTTTTACTGACACAACTCACACCAATACGGGTCATGTGACCGGGGAGGTCAGCACTTGGCGACGGTAGCAGACGGACTAGCAGCTACATGATGAACAACAGAAACTCTGAGACCAGCAGCTGTTAAAGTCCCATTAGCTGTCACACACACAGGATATCCCCATCAAAGCGTGTGTTCTGCGCATGCTCTGTTCGCAAAGAATCTTGGTCTTTTGAGTAGCGAGACGTCTTGTACGCGCCAGAACACCGGAACTAAACAACAAGTTGGGGGCAAAATGGCGAGTCGTGGCACAGCACCACACTTTGAGTGACGAGGAAACTAAAGCGCAAACAAACGTGGTCGCTATCTCTTCCGAACTGGGAAACATGTTGTTTTCACGGATACCGGAACAAGAAGAACCGGAAATGACGCATATTGCGTCTGGACGTAGTCCATACATCCTGACGCTACCCCAACATCCGCATTTAAATCGGGTTATGCAAGTTAGAGGTAACTGTTTTTATTTATGCTTGTAAACGGGTTATTCTGATCAACTCAGAAACCGGGTATGCGTTTACACGACCACACATTCGGGTTAGAAAACCCGGTTATGAGCATATCCAAGTTTTTGGTGGTGTTTACAAGGACCTGCGGAACCGGGTTATTGTGAATATTCGGGTTTTAAAAGGGTTACTGGCTGCATGTAAACTCACTGACTGATGGGTGTGTGACATTTGTTCTTCGCATCTGGCCCATTCCCCGGGGGAGCGGTGAGCTGCAGCTGCGGCTGCGCCTGGGAACCGTTTGGTGGTTTAACCCCTCAATCCAACCCATTAAAGCTGAGTGTCGAGCAGGGAGGCATTGGGAGAAACTTCAAAATGATGTTGATACAACGTGCAGCTAGGTAATTAGTTTTCTACTTTATAGACTATAAATAGGCAGCAAACAGATGTGTTGACAGATGAGAATACGCTGATGATTATTCATGTAGGATTTTAGACATGCCATTATGAATGCTGTTTATTTTCTTCAATCATTTTAAAACATTTCTCATAATTCCTAAGTTTGCTGGTTATTTGATAATGACTTATCTATTTAAGATGGGATTACTTCTCCCTTTTTGATCAAACTAATATCTAGATGAATTTATGCTGCAGAATGATTTTTGTTCTGACTGCACAACAGGCATGACACAGGAGCTAGGAGGAGACAGAGGGGTCATAGGTCACTGCTCCAGTTGGGGATTAGGAGCGATCGTTCTCTGTTAGGTGGAAGCTGGGAAAAATGAGGGGTAACACCAAACAACACTTTTACAGCACCATGCTTCTCATCAGGTCTTTGTTAAGAGGAAGAATCGTGTTTGGGCCCATTCAACCATCAAATCTACTAATAATCTTTGCTCTCACTGGATTATTAAAAGTTTTTTAATTCCATGTTTGCATTGGCTTTCTCACAGAATCAGTGGAATAACAGCAGAACAATGATGATTTACCAAGTCTCTCTGTTGTATTGTTTGTTCATGAGAGACAGGAAAGAACACGCTAATCACATTTTTTAAAGACTGTCTCAAGTGGAGGCAGCTTAATGAGAATCTCAACAGTTCCCAATTGTGATTTCTAGTATGCTCATAATCCCTCAATTTGACAGGTTTCTGGGGACGCATTAGGGTGAAAAACACAGAAAGACAGTTAGCGGCAGAGAAAACAGGTGGAGTGAGTTCGGGGACCGTTCAGATACATCTAAAACCCAAACCAGAACACGGAGTTTTACTGTTGTTTTAGAAGCATCCCTGTTCTTTCCTTTTGTTGTGTTCTTCCCTCCAAACATTTGGTGACACCTAAACTTGGGGCCAGTTTACCCACAGTACACACAGCTGTTGTGTCAATAGCCATGTTGCTAGTGTCAGCAGCATGTGAGCTGCTGCCACATAATGAAATATGTACATCATCTGTGTGTGTGCGCTGAAGGTGGAAGGGCTTCAGCGACTGAGACTTTTCTAGATCAGTGATAGAGAGCCTAAGCCACGTCCATCTACTTCTGGACCGCGGGTCCCCAGGAGAACAAATAAACGCATGCAAGTCAACGGGGCTAAAACGCTATTTTCTAATTCTGCTTGCTATGTGCCACGGATTTCACACATGATGTCCGTGAATTTTAAAGAAGCTTTTTGATACCAATGCGCTTATTTTCGAACGAGGGGAAATGCTATTTTAGGTCTTGAGTGAAAATAAGTCCAGGACTACAAACGCGCTTCACGAAAGTGACGTCATCGAACCAGCCACGGAGAAAACGGAGGGAAAATGGATGTAAATTCAGCAAACTTAAATCCTTCCTTCAGGAGGAAAAAACCACCATAAATCTGGCTGTGTGGTGAGTAGCAGCTACGCTAGGGGGGAGGAGATTATGTGGTGACGTGCCGATGTATTCATGCTAATTACAAACTTTTACAAGCTGATAGATCTCAAAGAACGTGACTGCCGTGGTCGAAACACCCATCATTAGTTTTCACTGAAATTCCAGTATGTGTGATCCAGATCTCTCTCTCTCTCTCTCTCTCTCTCTCTCTCTCTCTCTCTCTCTCTCTCTCTCTCTCTCTCTCTCTCTCTCTCTCTCTCTCTCTCTCTCTCTCTCTCTCTCTCTCTCTCTCTCTCTCTCTCTCTCTCTCTCTCTCTCTCTCTCTCTCTCTCTCTCTCTCTCTCTCTCTCTCTCTCTCTCTCTCTCTCTCTCTCTCTCTCTCTCAAATAGTTCCTGTGCACAGCTTCAGCTCACCGCTCCCCACGAGGGATGGGTCAAATGCGGAGATGAATGTCATCAGCTGATAACTAATGTGACTTTTATCAAGCACCCCTGTCCTGCAGATTTCCATGTCTGCTTCAGCCCACCTGATTTACACATTTGCATTCCCTCAGGATGACATCAGGTGACCTGTTCAACCTGTTAATCACTCAATCATGTAGACCAGATGTGTGGCAGCTGAGAAACACCTAAAACATGTAGGACGGGGGGCTGAGGACCAGGGTTAAGAAACACCACATGAAGGAAAAGACTATTGCAATAGTCTTTACCACGGCCAGGCCTGGATGAATGCACATGCTTGATATGGCTTAAGCCTAGGGGCCCACGTGTGTTCTGGGGCCCCTATTGGCCAGCTAAAAATATATGATTTTCTTTAAATTTACATGCAAGAATATTCTTCAACTGTATTGGCCGACAAAATCATAAGCAACACTGATTGGGTAAACATTGTGGCGTCTCGAGTTAAGTAACGTGTCACGTGACATGTCATATTCATGTATCATAGGCTGCTGCAAATGAAAAAAATGTCAGAAAGAAAATATGAGAGCGGCGCTCACAAAAGAAAAACGGAGAGAATCAAAGAACAAAAGCACTAAAATCTTCTGCAGAAAATCTCAAAATTGTCAGGATATTTTAAACCTGCTGCTGGACCCAACAGCAGGTTATAGAAAAGCAAGACGTTCACGATGGAGGCAGCGGAGCTATGCTAGCTGGAGCAGCAGCGGTTCATGATGCTAGCTCAAAGGAGGGAACGAGCTGTCACAGAGAAGCTGATATTGACCACTTGGGGGCAGAGGCAGACCTGCTTCAAGTAGTTTCTGATGGGAGCCCGGCAGAAGGTCCTAGCCAGGTGACGCTGATGGTGGATGCTAACTTAAACTCGGATACTGGCTGCTGGGGTGAAATGGATGAAAATGCCAGAAAATATTGGTAAATCATGGTTAATTCACAAATACCCTATGATTCATTAGATTAACATTTTTAGTTGTTTGACAGCCCTAATTAAAATAAATATCTGCAGATAATATAGGATAAGAATATTTCGCTTCGATCAAGCATTTTTGGTTCCGAACAAGTATAGCCTATGGGCCCCTGTACACCTTAATCCTCCCCTGACCACGGCATTAATCATAGGTGCATTGCTAGGTTGCAGCTAGTTCAGAATGCTGCAGCCCGTCCATGTCTGGCACTTGTAGATTTGATCACATCACTTCGGTTCTTGCCTCTGCACCGGGCCGCGGTTAGGTTCCGTGTGCAATTTAAGATTTTGGTTCTGGTGTATAAATGTTTGAATAGTCTTGCAATGGCCTGTCTCTCTGAGCTTCTTGTGCATTATGTTCCATCTCGTGGACTGAGGTCGGCTGACCAACTTAGATTGAATGTCCCCAGGGCGAGGCTACAGAGAAGAGGCTTCAGGTCTTTTGGAACATGTTACCAGTCACCATTAGGCAGTGGATATATAACAATGCTTCATCTGAACTCTAGCAGAGGGCAAGGAGGTGGATGGCTGTAGGTTTTTTCTTTGCTGTTTCTGCAGAATCTAAATCACCTGTTAATCCGGTTATTGGTCATTGCAGCTGTCCTACAGACCTGCTGACATGTCTGCATAATGTCCAACATCAGAAGGAGCCCAAGTCAAATGCTGCTTCAGCATGAGGTTAAACAAAGGGAGGAAGCCAGCATCAACACAATACTTCACCTTCACAGTCACATATAAGCTGTCGAGCAGGATCTGGGTTGAACTATTTTATTATCTGATATTTAATTATTCAGCAAGCCGACCATGTTTCAAACAGGTAAACGTTAAAATTAGGAGAGCTGGAAGCACAATTGTAGCCTTGAAGCTAACATCTGGAGTTTTTAGGAATTATGAGTGATTTTTTTTAGAAATCCGTCAGATTGATAGTCCTACCCTGCATTGTGATGCAATCTAGGCAATACATCTAATTTTGTTTTTGCTAAGGATGTGCCTACTGTAGGTCTAGTGGCGGCACTGCTTCTCTTTAAAAAGTGAGTCTTTTGAAAAAAAATGTGTATGTATATTTATACTGTATATATTGTATGTGTATATATAAACAACATATCCTAAGAATAATAATTGTAAAACAATGTGTTTCAGCTCAGTTGGCTAGCTAGAGGTGTCATAGTACAGGAGCCGTGAACATGGACGTCGTAAAAACAGTGCAGTACACTTTTTAGCCTCTAGGTGGTGACACTAGATAAAAACACTGTCAACACAACTTCTTTGCCGGCAAACACAGGGCTCATTTGCTTCCTACATCTTTTCAGAAGAGCATTGGTGCATGAACGAGGGTTTAATCCTGGCACCACACTTTCTTTTTACAAAGGCAACACCAAAAGGAAGGCATGGATCAAAATATCAACAATTGTGGGAGTGGGTGGCGAGTTTAAAAGATGAATGAAATACAAAAAAAGTCATTTTAAAATACGCAACAACAATTCTCACATGATTTGGTGATCTGGCAAGTCCAAGCACACGGCCGTGGCACGGCTCCACGTCTGACATTCTCCCGGTGTGGATTGGTGCTCGCTATGAAACCGCTCTACAGCCATAACATGTTCAAATCTGTCTTCGCCATGCGCCACATGTGTCTACTAAAAGGTTTTTGTACCATAAAAAAATGCTCATTTCAAGAACTTTATCTTCACCTTGCCTTCCAAATCAGTTTCAGCCAAACAGAAAACAAACTAAAGGCTGTGTGACCAAAGCAGCCAGCATATTGATCTCACCAGCAGACATGGTTTTTTCTGTCATTGATTGTTGCAGCTGTGGATCAACATCAGACTGTACTTTTACTGAAAGCCCAAGGTCATCATTTGGCTGGTTGAGTTTGGTTAATAGCATCTAAAGAGGCAACTCTTTTTGAAGCAGATTTACAAAATAATCACTGACCTGCTGTTAAACTTCTCTGGATGCTTTTCCCGCATCAGATGAAAGCGGTGAGCGATGGAGGCATCCTGTGAAGGAGAACAGAACAGGCAGCGTCACCTCGGTGACATCCATTCTGCACCGTAATGAAAGCTCGTCAAAGGTCAATAAAGCGTTGTCTCAGTAAAGTCCAAACTTATTTGAGAACATTCACTTCTGCTTTCAAATAAAAGAGAAAATTCTTAAAATAAAATCATCTTTGACTTGATCTAATTGTTTGTGTTGTTTTCAGTGCGAAGCTTCGTTTATTTGGTTTTTTGTTGTTTCCATCAGAAGAAACATGAACACCGCTCTACCCCGAAGCATTGGGCCAAAGGTCATAGGTTAATGTGATCAGGGCACAGATTGAACTCTGCCCTCCAACCCATGTGTTTAACCTTTGAACTTTGAGACAGGGGTGAATGTAAACCCGATCATTCACCAGAGCAACCTCAGTGTGACCTCATAAACAGACCAAAAGCATCGGCCTCCTTCCTCGTGGTTCATAGTAAAATGTCAGCGGTCATTGAGAATCCAGCTAAAATGCACTGATGCTGCTTTGTTGATGTGAACATAACCAGAGGAAAATGTGAGAGTCGTCACACCGGTCTGATACCCAGCAGCTCCGGTTTCCAGATCTAAGATCACATGTATCAGCGTGCTGCCTCTCAACCACACGCTTTCAAAAATAAACAAACTCCACTGCCACTTTTTCAAATCCAACACCTCTAAACCTTTTTTCTATGCTGCTTATTTATGAAGATGAGTGCATGTGAGCTGCTGTCTGCACACGACAGTCTCTGCAGGAGTGTTTTTTTTTTGTTCTGACCAACAACTTGCAAAACTTAAGACAACAAAACGAAGACGACCTCCACAACATCTTCCAGCAGCAGCAAATGTCATATGGAGCGTTGTCGCTGCAGGACTTTGATTGCCAGCAGCAGCAGGACATGGAAGACAGATCTGGTGACAGCTTGTCATGTTTTGGAGATCCTTGCAGCCACAATGTGTCATTCACTGGCCCTGGTCCACACGCTGAGCTGGGCAGGCTAAACACAACACACCATGATGCTGTTTGAGCACATGTAAACAACTTCCCTCATGCTTTTGTGCTTCTGTAGAGGTGAGTCACGTTTGCTAAACAGAATCGGTATGGTGAGGTGTTTGGCTGGAGGTGAGTGGATAAAGTTAGACTGCGGTGATGTCTCGTCTCGCCGCGGGTTCCAGTATCAGATTCAGTCTCTGTTAAAAGATCCTCAATCTTCTGATGCTGGAGTAAGCTTTCCTCAGAGCTTAGTTTGAGTGCAGGTCCTGCAGCCATGTTTTGCGTGACATCACACCTGTTAACTGCTTTGTGGTTATAGAAACATGCTGAGATAGGGAGGGTGAACACCGCTTTAATCTTACCTGATCAGGCTGAGTCTGTTTGTGAACGATTAGGCAGCAGCTGGATTCCATGTGAGAAACAAATCCAGGCTGGAGCCAATGGTGCCACGAGTTTAGGGAAAGATTTGGAGTTTTGGGACTTTCTAATAACCCTCCACACATGTGCTTGTGTTTGAGCCAGCCTAGCAATGCACATGTGCTATTCTTGGTGTCTATAAGAGCAGCCAGGTGTCATTCAGCATGGTAATTCATTACCACGGTAACCTCCTCTGAACCTGGCAGGCGCTGACTTCCTGTCACCGATACTTCCCCTGACCTTCAGTCTGAGCCAGGACAGCTCCACCTCTCTATCCCAGGCACACGTCTTTTATATGAAGGAATATTCAGAGTCCTGACTGTTAAAGAGGGTGTGTGCATGCATCTTATTGTGTGAAATACATATAAGTTACTTACAAGATAAATAACACCCATTTCTTATGTAAGGATGTTAAAATTCTGTATCTGCTTCACATCTTAGCTTGGTTTGTAGCTGCAGCCACTTGTGATGGAGGTCTAATCTCCTCTGCAGCAGGGTGTCATACCACAAAGCAGGTTCTGGTGATCCAGCTCAACAACTAAGGTCAACCCAGAACTTCTGCCTCTGGATACGAGCATGTTTCTGTCAGGTAGACACAGCTGACCAGACGGGAAGCAGGAAGGAAATGCACTGAGCGCTGACCACACGCACACACACACGCACACACACACACATCTGGGCGCACACACTCATGGTCTCAGGGTGCTTATGCTGGCGGACACAGAACTGATAGGAGCGCTCACTGTTTCTTCTCCAGATGTTCTAAACATTCAGAAAGGATCAACCAGAGAAGATGTCTTTCTTCCAGTCCTCAGCAGTCCCATTCCTGGACCTTCAGCAGAACATCAGTCTGTCCCTGGAGGATTTCAGAAGGGGCTTCTGTACTGCCCTCCTCAGCCCCAGACCACCCTCCATGAGTCTTTGCCTCACCGCTCTGCAGAGGCAGTCAGACCTGCTAGCTGCTGAGCAAATGTCCAGTTAGTGACCTGACCTGAACCCCTGATGAAAGACTGCTTCACTGACGTTCATATAGGCTTTTTCACCTTAGTAAGAAGCTAACTCAACCTTTAACACACAACAAATAACAGTGAAACATTCCCTGGTGAGAATCAACCTGGTGTGTTAAAGGTAACACAGTTAACAACAACAGGAGTAGTTCTGGGCTGCTCAGGAGAGCCAAACACACACTCCACACTGCCGTCCACTATCAAGTCAGTGAGATAAAGGACAGACGACTGAGGAAGCTATGAGATTTGGCCTTGCCAGCCACCCGTTGCTGTGGTAACTAAACCTTGAGCAGCAAGCTCTGAGATGGGACAGCAGGAAGTGCAGCCCTAGTATGGTTAGTGAAGCAGATCTGAGGCCTTACTAATGGTGTGTGTCATTGTCAGGTTTGCTCAGGTGTCATGTGTGTGTGTGCAGATTCACTGCCATCTGTCACTGCGCCTCCTGAAGGATCAGCAATCTGTTGCAGTGTTTACTGTGCTCAGAGCTGAAGTAGAGCGGTGCACACGTAACCTTACATTACTCAGGAATCAGGGCTGTCTCTCATCATCAGCATGTTTACGCTGTGGGCTCTCTCAAGGACACATTTCAGCACTCTTACAGGAGGAATGTGGAGTAGAACAGTACTTTTGTTAGGGTATAAAATGTATTTGTTGCTCCTGAGATGAGCAGGCCTGCCACCCCCCCCCCCACCCCCCCCCCCCCAGCTACTGTTTTATTAGTTTATACTGAAAACCAAACAAAAATGATAAATACCTTCATGAAACATCACAAGGACCTTGTTTGCCTCCTATACACATCTGTGACATCCATCTAAAAGCATCCAAGTCATTATAAAAAGTTGCTAAGCAACTCTCACCTAGCAGCAGGCATCTTCTCTTCAGATAAAAGACCGAGCTGGCCCCAGAGGAGACATACCCACAGCTGAACCGGCTAATTGCGGATGCTCACAGAAATATCATCATATTTGTCACCAACAGTTATGTAACGTGATGAAGGAGCTATCCCTCCAAGGTTATTTAACCTTTTCCACAGTTCCCTTTGACACAGCGCCAGAGTGCATGAGACAGCCTCAAGGTCATGCATTCGCTTCTAAACTGTTTACTTTCCAGAAATGAAGACAGAAGATGAAGAGACTCTTTTCTTTTAATAAATCAAAGAACTCTATTTTCAATAAAGCTAATCAAAACAACTGTTAGTCAATAATACAATGTGACCGATCTGTGAAATCACAATGTTATGATTAATATGTTTAATAAGTAAATGACTTAATCTAGTTCACTAGACACACTGACACACGTTAAGGTAAACAATCACATGACACATTGCTGTTGCTGATCCAATCAGAACCTTCCTAGTCTGAAGTGTGGTGAGTCTCTGTGGTGTTTATAAATCTGCTAGCTTTGATCCGTCCAGAATCAAAAACATCCAGATTAATAAAACAGTTCCAACGCCATCTTAAGTTCACTTCTCATGATCCCATGAAGTTCCCTGCATGCTAAGCAAAGTATTGGACCGGCCATTCTGTACTTCTCTTTTTAAGCTGAGAACCATCAAGCTTGGAAAAATCTGTTTTTAACAACCAAGCAACGGTTCCTTTCAGAATAAAAGCTGAACTTGCTGACCCAAGGAGGGTCCCCTTTTGACGCTGTGAACCACCTGTCGCTTTTTACCTGGAGACTATCCAAAGACTGGTTTGTCGTACTGTCGACGCTGTTTCATCGGCTCCAGTACCAGAGGAGGGTCTGTGGACCTGGCATCCAGATCTGTACGGAGGTCTCAATTCTGAGGGTATGTGGATGCGACAATATGGCGTCTCATGTGGTTATGAAGCTACTCTGATCAGTTAGGAGCCAAACATCATCTCCCACTCAGACTTTGTCTCTCTGGATACGAGGGTTCTGAATGACACTCATTCACACACACCATCTGTAGTGACTATCAAGTCCCACTTTTAGTCACCCATGGGTGCAGGTGGAGGCAATAACTCGCTTCAACAATATTGTCCAGGCAGAAAGCGGGTTTGGGTTTATTGTCCCATTTATTGAATATGTTGACGATCACAGTTATGCAGGGTCCAGAATGGCCATTTCTTGTCCAGGTTTATGTAAATGATGAAAATTATAACAGCAAATTAGATGTGGCATTTGAAACCAAACGAAGCGGTAAAAACCGTGTGACCTCCCGTCACCCGCAAAACGTCAGTACACTGCCACCTCAACGCCTTTATAGGCTCCGCAGTGCCACCAGTGGTTAAAGGAAATACGAACCATGGTGCAATAAACTGAAATGTACATAAAACATTATCAAAATAAACTTAGACCATAATATAATCTAAACCAAAACAATATTGGCTCCTACACCATCCATCTCACACCTCATTCAAACAGAGCATCCATCATTAGCAGAATTAGTCTTGTTTAAATTGTTTAAAATTATTTAGTAATAAATTATCTTAAACGTTTGAAGGTCTCTCTCTCTCTCTTTTCTTGTCTCTCAGTTAATACAAGGTGTTGCAAATCCCTACAATAAAAAGATCCAACCTTCTGATTAAATAAACTAGTGGTCCGCAAGATGGATTTCATACTCGATATGAAATTTTGATGTCTTGTGGTCCTTAATTAAATGTAAATTAACTTCATTACAGTTATTTAAGCAACAACAATCAGGATTACATGCATCTTTTTCACCTTCAGGCTCTCCAGTTCTGTAACTTAAATGCATTTCAAATTCAAATGGACTGAACGACTCACTTCAGTGACGTGTTTATGACGAGAGGAGCTCTCATGGACGAGATATTTACAGAGATTTTTGCCCATCAATTATCAAGTGCCCTCAGCATGTAAAAGCTTTATTTTATATTTAGTTTGTGTGGAATAACTCTGCCATCTTGAGTTGTTTTACACCAAACCAGCAGCAGAAACTGGCCACCTGCTGTGTTCCTCACTCTGCCAGCATCTGGAAACCAGAGACAGCACTGATGCCACTGCAAAGATCTCACACACAGACTAACCTCCAAAACGTGCACAGCTGGACTTTCTTTTAACTCTCCTGTCCAGAAGAAAGTAGTAGAAACATAGAAAATAAGTTTCATGCTGAGAATAGCTGACGGAGCCACCATGCAGAGTGTCACACATCAGATAACAGGAAATAAAAGGTGGACACGATTTTGTTTGTACCAATAAATACACATCTCTAGCCTAGAGCTCTAGACAGACCGTAGAAAAGGTTTATCTCTGTTTTTAGCCCCGTTGACTGATCGCTGTAGCGACGAATACGTCACATTGTTCGTTGCTCTGATTGGTCCAAGCGCTGTCCAATTCCACGCAGAGACAGTTTAAAACACAACCACAGATCTATGTTACACATGATACATTTGGTTTATATTGATATTTTATAATAATAATAATACATTTTATTTAAAAGCGCCTTTCAGGACACCTAAGGTCACTTGACAGAAAACACTTAATAAAATACAATAAAACAATAATAACACCCAAACAAGAAAAAAAAACTGAGAAAAACAGTTCAAT